CCCACTCCTAACATTCAAATGCAAATGTTTATTTTAAATTCGACTAATATAAATTTTTCTATTCACAATCTCCTCATCACAGGCAGGCACAGCACTCAATTCAGCATGTGTTAGTGTTTGTGTGTGTTGTCTGCGTCACTCATAGCACGTGCCTATAATAGTGCACTATATCGAACATTTTTTATATCGTTATCGAAGAAGGTGTACCGTCGATAAATATCGATACCGTTTTATCGCCCAGGCCTAGCAGAGCTGACGAATCGCCATCTTCTCAGAGAATCCATTAGCATCAAAGAGGAATGAAGACCTGCAGTGGTTGTTCTAGAGGCCTGAGTGTGTGTGTGTGTGTTTCCTCACCAAACCTGCACCCTTATCCTCTTCTTTCAAATGCCACGTTCACCCACGTGCCGTAATAATCACCGCCTCCAGAGAAAGTGCTCATAACTCCATCTTAATGGCCTCAGTGTCTTCTCCTTTAATCCCAAATCCTCTGCTGCTCGTTTGACATATGACTGGCTCCGAGCGACGCGGCCCTGCCCCAATTTTGTCAGGATGCCAGCACCTACTAATGAACGCAGAGAGCTGGAGAGAACACCTGGTCCTCAAATGCTACCTTTTGAGAGAGCGCAGAAGAAAGAGAAAACACATTGTTGCTCGTTTCTGGCCCACACAGCCATCTCCATTTTGCCTCATTAAATTATTGTCTGCAGAATGCTCAATATGTCTTGCTGCTCACTCGAGCTTTCAGACACAATATGTTCCTGGGATTCAACTGCAAACAATGCAACGCTAAATTCAACACACTGAGTCACAAGATGGTTCAGTGCATGAAAGTTTCAACATCGTCTCGACATCGTTTCTCTATAATATCACTCACACTCGCATGTGTTTTTAAAACGGACCCTTGGGAATGTAAATGAGGCCTGAAGATGGTAATTGTGTTGGGTTGTTATTGCTCTAATATAGTCAGCCACTCTCACTCACATAGATGAAGAATTTTATTTTCTTTGCCAGATGAAGGAAAAAGCTCATGGCTCATGTTTTCCAGTACAAGGAAGCGACAACGGTATTAAACAAGTGGAGCAAATTGAAGTGATACAAAAATAATTGCTGACAACATGGGAATGTGTCTGAATTATATTTGCACTGTTCCTATTTAGCACTAGTTATTATTACTAACAGCACGCCTCAGTTGTTATTATTATAATGTGATATAATCATATAGCACTGTATACAACGAGTGAAATTTGTTTTCAAATGGCTTGTATTTTCCATAAAGTGAATGAAATCTTCTGATCGGTCATCCCTTGTGAAAAGAAGTGCTTCTTGAAAAGAAGTATGGAAATAATATACTTAATATATTTAAGTGCAAACTGAATGGAATGTTTTCTGACACTCAACTGCGTTAGTGTTTGTGTGTGTTGTCTGCGTCACTCATAGCACGTGCCTATAATAGTGCACTATATCGAACATTTTTTATATCGTTATCGAAGAAGGTGTACCGTCGATAAATATCGATACCGTTTTATCGCCCAGGCCTAGCAGAGCTGACGAATCGCCATCTTCTCAGAGAATCCATTAGCATCAAAGAGGAATGAAGACCTGCAGTGGTTGTTCTAGAGGCCTGAGTGTGTGTGTGTGTGTTTCCTCACCAAACCTGCACCCTTATCCTCTTCTTTCAAATGCCACGTTCACCCACGTGCCGTAATAATCACCGCCTCCAGAGAAAGTGCTCATAACTCCATCTTAATGGCCTCAGTGTCTTCTCCTTTAATCCCAAATCCTCTGCTGCTCGTTTGACATATGACTGGCTCCGAGCGACGCGGCCCTGCCCCAATTTTGTCAGGATGCCAGCACCTACTAATGAACGCAGAGAGCTGGAGAGAACACCTGGTCCTCAAATGCTACCTTTTGAGAGAGCGCAGAAGAAAGAGAAAACACATTGTTGCTCGTTTCTGGCCCACACAGCCGTCTCCATCTTGCCTCATTAAATTATTGTCTGCAGAATGCTCAATATGTCTTGCTGCTCACTCGAGCTTTCAGACACAATATGTTCCTGGGATTCAACTGCAAACAATGCAACGCTAAATTCAACACACTGAGTCACAAGATGGTTCAGTGCATGAAAGTTTCAACATCGTCTCGACATCGTTTCTCTATAATATCACTCACACTCGCATGTGTTTTTAAAACGGACCCTTGGGAATGTAAATGAGGCCTGAAGATGGTAATTGTGTTGGGTTGTTATTGCTCTAATATAGTCAGCCACTCTCACTCACATAGATGAAGAATTTTATTTTCTTTGCCAGATGAAGGAAAAAGCTCATGGCTCATGTTTTCCAGTACAAGGAAGCGACAACGGTATTAAACAAGTGGAGCAAATTGAAGTGATACAAAAATAATTGCTGACAACATGGGAATGTGTCTGAATTATATTTGCACTGTTCCTATTTAGCACTAGTTATTATTACTAACAGCACACCTCAGTTGTTATTATTATAATGTGATATAATCATATAGCACTGTATACAACGAGTGAAATTTGTTTTCAAATGGCTTGTATTTTCCATAAAGTGAATGAAATCTTCTGATCGGTCATCCCTTGTGAAAAGAAGTGCTTCTTGAAAAGAAGTATGGAAATAATATACTTAATATATTTAAGTGCAAACTGAATGGAATGTTTTCTGACACTCAACTGCATGTTAATTACAATTCAATGAAAATGTAGTTTAAATTTATATAAAGAGTGTTTTTTCCTCACTTAAGTGGGACTTAAGTACATTTGTATTTGTAATTTCATAATTCTACTGTTTTTGAAATATGGTTAAAGTGTGCTGACTGAATGTACTGACAAGTATTTTTTAGTAAACATTTAAATGTATTTAAAATATATTTCATGTAATTGTTATTATCTTATCTTTTATTTTATTATCTTGTATGTTGTGTAATTAAATATATTTGTAATGCACATTTATAATGATGAAATTGCAATTTAGTACTTTCAAAATATATTAATTTCAATTGTAATATTGAATAAAGCACTACAGTTAAAATTAGATTATTAAAACATGATCATTTAAAATGTACTTAAGTGCACTTAAGTATGTTAGTCACGAAAGAGTGCTTGTTTAAGTGGCCTTTTATTTCGTTATTAATACAATGCAAATACAGTTTTTCAAAAAGTAAACTTTTAAGATTTGAGGAACACTACAAGTGCATATTCAATACAATTAAATGAATTTATGCATTTAGCAGACGCTTTTATCCAAAGCGACTTACAGTGCATTTCAGGCTATACATTTTTTACCAGTATGTGTGTTCCCTGTATGGCTTCCATATATATATATACTGTATATATATATATATATATGTATATATATATTATACACACATTTTTCTATTAAAAATATATACATATTTGTTACGAAGAACCGCAACATTAAAGGACTTGCATGGACAAAAAAAATAAAATACATTGGGTAACACTTTATATGAAGCCTGTATTTATAATATATTATAAGATGAATGATAATGAATGCATAATGTATTATAAAAAACCTTATAATATGTTGTATCATCTCATGAGTAATCATACAGTTTAAAAAAAAGCATTATAATATTTACTTATTTGTGGTTATTGCTTTTAAGATTATGATGATTTTTTTAAGATTTGATTGATTTATAATACACAATACATCCACTTAACTTACAATGGATTATATTTCCTATAGTTATAGTGTATTATAAGTCTCATATCTTGCCATCGTTAACTTGTTACTTTACTTAAAGCAGACAAAGACCACTTATAAATAACAACAACATCAACAATAATAAACAAAATGTAAATATTTATTTCTTAAACAGCCATACGATCGGATATCTGATCAGATGAATGTGTAATATGACAAATTTGATTTAACTATATTTATTGTAATATCAGTAAGATAGTAAGATACTGTACAGATCTTAAATAAATAATGTCAAGATATGAGACTTATAATCCATTATAAATTAAGCGGATTTAACATGGTGTTTATCGCGTGTTATAAATAACCATACTCATAAAAGTTATAACCACAAATAAGTAAGTTTTATAATGTATTATGATTGTTGTTATGATTATTTCTGAGATGAAATAACATATTATAAGTTTTTTTTTAATAATACATTATGCATTCATTATAATGCCTTAAGAATAAGTATACCTTAAGTATGCCTTAAGTATAATGCCCTTATAATGTGTTATAAATATGGGCTTCATAGAAAGTGTTACCAAAAATTGCAATAACAACGAGTTTATTGGGAGTTTGAGTTCGGGAGCCGACAAGGCCAAAACAACAAACAAAATGTTCTTAGTTTTTAAACCTTACCTAACCGAAAGAAAAGAAAAGAAAGTACAGCCCAAAAAAACAGAGATCAGAAGGTTTTACAAACCGAAATGGTGTCAGGCTCCTTACTATCCCAATTTTTAGTATTTACAATATTTACAAGCCAAGCAAAACCAAGTTTAGAGGGCAATCTAAAAATCAGTGTCAAACAGGCAAAGGGGGTCAAATACACCAGCAGATCTTTTGCTACAACACTTTCGCAACAAAACACAAAATAAACAGAGCCACTTGTGTAATCTGATTCACAATCTTATCATTTTTTAATCAGTGTATTATTTTTTGTTATACTTGAATGCCGTTGAATGCTTGAATCTGATTGGCTGACGAACGTTCTAAGGTGTGCAATTATTTTCAGGGAAATGCACAGCGAACGTAGTTCCAGGCAGCTCTCTTGACCGCATTACAGTTCCATATCACTTCGCATAGATAACTGTAATAACGGAAATTAGCATACAGTACCTATACAGCACACAGGAATTACTGCAATCACACGTGCTCGCACACG